ATAACCGCTTTTTGAACTGAGGTGTCAATGAAGCCATTCTTTAACAGGTAGGTGGACAATCTCTGGGTAATAATGCTGAAGAAAATCTTACCCTCAACGTTTAATAGTGAAATAGGACGAAACTGACTGATGCTTGTAGCATCTTTTTCTTTAGGTATAAAGACTCCACCTGCTCTGCGCCATGCTCTAGTTACAACCTGTTTTTCCCATGCCACTTTTATCAATTTCCACAGAATTCGCAGAACTCCTGAAGCACTCTTGTACACTCTGTACGGAACTCCATTAGGCCCTGGAGATGATGAAGCCCTTGCCTTTCTCACAGCCTGCTCTACCTCTTTCCACTTAGGTGCACAGACCTCCATTTGGTATTCTGGTGGGTTGATAGGTGGTATGTCTGATGGAATTGACATAGGCTCATGCCTTTTTGCATCTGTATGCGTGTCCTCCAAATATCTCTCTAGCTCAATCCTAGATGTTTTTAAAGTGCCATTCTTCTCACTGGTGAATTACTTCTTTACGAATTTGAATGGGTCTTTATAGAAATTAGCCCTCGCACGTTCCTTCTTTTTGTAGCGTTTCCGTAGGCGCTCAGCTCTGCGTAATGTTGCCAGCTTATCTTTTATTGTCCTTTGTAAGAGATTGAGTCCCTCCTTCTGACTTTGTTCTGCTCTTTTCCATTGCTTCCTCAGCTGTCTCCTTTCTCTAACTAACCCTTCAATTTTCTGCTGCCGTCTAGACATTCCAGGAGTAGTTTGTACTTTTTCCTTCCTTTTTTCCAAACCAAACCTCTCACTTCCATATGCGTAAATGATGTCCCCAAATTTATCCAGCTTCTTTTCAACTGTACCAGTTAATCTTGTGCAAATCAATGTGTTCAGCTCCACAGTGCTCTTCTTCACATCGCCCAAATTACCTCTTCTCATTTGAAAGTATTAAAGCTGCAACTGTCAGGAGATCCCTCAACAGCACACGTGTTCCAGAGAGCAGAAGGCAGACGGACACCAGCATGCAGATGTGTTTCTGAAGCACTGGAGCATCAACGTGCTGTGTTTACACTGCTGTCAGCACACCTAACACTAACACAACACCAACACAACACAGACACCAATACAACACCAACACAGACACCAACACAACACAGAGACCGACACTAACACCAACACAGACACCAACACAACACCAACACCAACACAACACCGACACAACACCAAAACCAACACAACACCGACACCAACACAACACAGACACCAACACAACACCGACACCAACACAACACCGACACCACACAGACACCAACACAACACCGACACCGACACTAACACTAACACCAACACAGACACCAACACAACACCGACACCAACACCAACACCGACACAACACCGACACCGACACTAACACCAACACAGACACCAACACAACACCAACACCAACACAACACCGACACAACACCAAAACCAACACAACACCGACACCAACACAACACCGACACCAACACAACACAGACACAACACCGACACCAACACAACACAGACACAACACCGACACCAACACAACACCGACACCAACACAACACCGACACAACACCGACACCAACACAACACCGACACCAACACAACACCGACACTAACACCAACACAGACACCAACACAACACCAACACCAACACAACACCGACACAACACCAAAACCAACACAACACCGACACCAACACAACACCGACACCAACACAACACCGACACCAACACAACACCGACACCAACACAACACAGACACCAACACAACACCGACACCAACACCTACACAACACAGACACCGACACAACACTAACACCAACACAACACAGACACCAACACAACACCGACACCAACACAACACAGACACCAACACAACACAGACACCAACACAACACCGACACCAACACCGACACCAACACAACACCGACACCAACACAACACCGACCCCAACACAACACCGACACCAACACAACACTAACACCAACACAACACTAACACCAACACAACACCGACACCAACACAACACAGACATCAACACAACACCGACACCAACACTAACACCAACACAACACCAACACAACACATACACCAACACAACACAGACACCAACACAACACCGACACAACACCGACACCAACACAACACGGACACCAACACTAACACCAACACAACACCAACACAACACCAACACAACACCAACACAACACCGACACCAACACTGACACCAACACAACACCAACACAACACCAACACAACACCGACACCAATACAACACCAACACAACACTAACACAACAACAAATCTGTCGTTATCATCAGTTCAACGAGTCTGTGTTTCCCGAAACCATCGTTCTAACGAACATTCGCAAACAGCATCTCAGAGTTGTGTGTGTGAGCGACAGCATCTCAGAGTTGTGTGTGTGAGCGACAGCATCTCAGAGTTGTGTGTGTGAGCGACAGCATCTCAGAGTTGTGTGTGTGAGCGACAGCATCTCAGAGTTGTGTGTGTGAGCGACAGCATCTCAGAGGTGTGTGTGTGAGTGACAGCATCTCAGAGTTGTGTGTGTGAGCGACAGCATCTCAGAGTTGTGTGTGTGAGTGACAGCATCTCAGAGTTGTGTGTGTGAGTGACAGCATCTCAGAGTTGTGTGTGTGAGCGACAGCATCTCAGAGTTGTGTGTGTGAGCGACAGCATCTCAGAGTTGTGTGTGTGAGCGACAGCATCTCAAGAGTTGTATGTGTGAGCGACAGCATCTCAGAGTTGTGTGTGTGAGCGACAGCATCTCAGAGTTGTGTGTGTGAGCGACAGCATCTCAGAGTTGTGTGTGTGAGCGACAGCATCTCAGAGTTGTGTGTGTGAGCGACAGCATCTCAAGAGTTGTGTGTGTGTGACCGACAGCATCTCAGAGTTGTGTGTGTGTGAGCGACAGCATCTCAGAGTTGTGTGTGTGAGCGACAGCATCTCAGAGTTGTGTGTGTGAGCGACAGCATCTCAGAGTTGTGTGTGTGAGCGACAGCATCTCAGAGTTGTGTGTGTGAGCGACAGCATCTCAGAGTTGTGTGTGTGAGTGACAGCATCTCAGAGTTGTGTGTGTGTGAGCGACAGCATCTCAGAGTTGTGTGTGTGAGCGACAGCATCTCAGAGTTGTGTGTGTGAGCGACAGCATCTCAGAGTTGTGTGTGTGAGCGACAGCATCTCAGAGTTGTGTGTGTGTGAGCGACAGCATCTCAGAGTTGTGTGTGTGAGCGACAGCATCTCAGAGTTGTGTGTGTGAGCGACAGATCTCGAGCTGTGGTTAGAAGCAGAGTTTCTAGTGTTCATGACATGTGGACTCAATAAATCCTGATCTTGAGCAAAATAAGCAATCTGACATTCAGTCCAACCGGTGTCTTTAATCTAGAACACATACAAATGTCATTTACGTCTTTGAGTTTGTCAAGAGATTTAAGCGTAGTTTGTGAAGAGTGCGCATGTGTGAACGAGCTCTAGTGTGTGTGACGGAGCTCTAGTGTGTGTGAACGAGCTCTAGTGTGTGTGAACGAGCTCTAGTGTGTGAGAACGAGCTCTAGTGTGTGTGAGCGAGCTCTAGTGTGTGTGAACGAGCTCTAGTGTGTGTGAACGAGCTCTAGTGTGTGAGAACGAGTCTATGAGTGAATCTGGAAATAAAGCGAAATAACTGAGAGAAATGAGAGATATTCCTCTGATGTCATGATCGTGATTTATATCGAAACATCTCGCATTAATTCGATCTCTAACAGATTCATTAACAGTAGTTATTACTCCAACACCTGCGTGACATCATTAACCAGCGCGGTTGAACGACCAATTTGCGACAATATGGTTTCGGGAAACAGTGGAGACGAGCTAGTGGATTCTTCAGCGATGCATCGGACTGTGATAGTGAAGCAGTGAGTTACGGGAAACACACCCCAGAACGCCAGACTACTGTTGACCCGGGGTCAGACGGAGACATTTGCGTTGTCTGAGCTGTTCTTGTTTGCACACACAACTGTCTGTCAAATGTTTGTGGATTCAACTGGCTCATATTTTTAAAATATCATCCTCAAATCATTGTCATGGAAAAAAATATTGTCACCAAAAATCATTTTAAAGTGGCATTTGCTTTCTAAAGAGCAAACGCTTGAAGCTTAAACCATTCCTGTGTCTCTAACATCCACAAACTGAATTGAACAAATAATGACAGGTTCCTGAACACAACCACAGCCCGCAATTGGTCAGCCAAACTGAAAGTCCCGCCCCCAAAATTGACACCATTGGTTGAGTCGTGATTAAACAAACCAATCAATAAGAGACACAGTGTTACACTTTGCAGGAAATCAACCAATGCTTTACTAATAATCACTCTGAATATTAAAGTGAGACATGATGAGAAAGTATTTTAACATCCAAATAAATATATATAAATCAAAGGCAGATACAAACAAGTTTTTGAGTTGTTTAACAATCAGAAATATGAATAAAACAATAAATAATATTAATTAATTAATTAATTTAAAAATATATATATACAAAAAAGTGCCCCATAATGTAAATGCATAAGCTAACTCCACTACTGGACCACAAATACATTTGTATAAAAAATGTGTTTATCAAATGTATTAGTTTTTCTCAAATTATATTTATAGTTTGGTTCATACCTTAAATTTCAGTTACAATAGTCAATGTTTAATTGTCTTTTAAAAATAAGCATAACATTTTCTGTAATGCATTAAAAAATAAACACACTAAAAATTAATAAAATGACAAATAAAATAAATAATAATATAACATAATATAAAGCCAGTATGTGTTCTGCACATCAATGGTGTCAAGCCAAAATACTATTTAAACAAAATTGTTTCTTTTATTTAGTTTTTCTATGTGGAGTGTTATTTGCTAATAAACTAATAAATGAATGACCAATTGAAGAAAGAAAAGAATCTCTTTGTGTGATGGTGGATGGTAATGGTGCTGTTGTGTGTTGCAGAGGTGGTCCAGCTCAGTCTAGCGGACGGGAAGCGTCTGAGCATCACAACAGTGACCGTGGGCCTGAGCGTGGTGCTGTCCTGTGCCATCCAGGGCACCCTGAGGCCACCCATCATCTGGAAGAGGAACGGCATCATCCTCAACTTCCTGGATCTAGAGGACATCAATGTGAGTGTCCAGTTCTTTTACCTGCTATAACTCAAGAAACTCCCCACTGGAAGGGTTTCAGGACAAGTACGGCGGATACACCTCGAGTCACTTTATGAGCTTTTATTTCGCACAAATACACAATAATCATCCACAAACTAGGTAGCCTGAAAGCTACCGCTATGCTAGCCTGTCAGCTGGATATAAGTGACGTTATTTAGCATGTTAGTTCACTAGTTAGTTAGGTTGTAAACCTCCAATGAAAACACAAACACAAATACCAAACATTGATGGCCATCAATCGAATGAAAATGAAACCTAAAGGCGTGATGCCTGCACACTGTGACTTATCAAGCATACACAGACACACAGTCTGGAGACCAGGGATGATAATAAAACAAACCTGTAACCTAATAAGATTATAACATACTTAAAATATAACATAAATATGCCTCCATTTGGAATAAGGCGGTAAACGTAGGCTACACACTTATTTCCTCAAATACCCCAGAACCAGTGTTGTGTGTAACACATTACAAAATAAGTTTTCTCTTTTTTTCTTCACCATGCGTGTATACCATGAATACAGCCTAAATCTAATTGCTTCCAGAAATTATTTTTGGGGGTGTTAACGGGGAGATTTGGTCTTTCTTGGGGACTTTCTTTCTAGCCCCTCCCTAGCGCCGCCCATGCATATGCCTATCCATTAATGGGCATTTCTTCATAAATATTCAAAATTTTGACAAATGCATTATGCATTTGTGGCATTATATATGGCATTATGCATAGTAGAACTTTGTGTAGGCCTGCACATTTAGGAACATATATTGGGTTCTGCAAAGTAAAGTAACGGATTACTTTTTTTAAGAAGTAACGAGTAACGAGTTACACTACTTTTTAAAAGTAACTTCCCCAACACTGCCCAGAACATAATGATAACATCCATCACTTGAAATATATATACACTCACCTATAGGATTATTAGGAACACCATACTAATACTGTGTTTGACCCCCTTTCGCCTTCAGAACTGCCTTAATTCTACGTGGCATTGATTCAACAAGGTGCTGAAAGCATTCTTTAGAAATGTTGGCCCATATTGATAGGATAGCATCTTGCAGTTGATGGAGATTTGTGGGATGCACATCCAGGGCATGAAGGTCCCGTTCCACCACATCCCAAAGATGCTCTATTGGGTTGAGATCTGGTGACTGTGGGGGCCATTTTAGTACAGTGAACTCATTGTCATGTTCAAGAAACCAATTTGAAATGATTCGAGCTTTGTGACATGGTGCATTATCCTGCTGGAAGTAGCCATCAGAGGATGGGGACATGGTGGCCATAAAGGGATGGACATGGTCAGAAACAATGCTCAGGTAGGCCGTGGCATTTAAACGATGCCCAATTGGCACTAAGGGGCCTAAAGTGTGCCAAGAAAACATCCCCCACACCATTACACCACCACCACCAGCCTGCACAGCGGTAACAAGGCATGATGGATCCATGTTCTCATTCTGTTTACGCCAAATTCTGACTCTACCATCTGAATGTCTCAACAGAAATCGAGACTCATCAGACCAGGCAACATTTTTACAGTCTTCAACTGTCCAATTTTGGTGAGGTCTTGCAAATTGTAGCCTCTTTTTCCTATTTGTAGTGGAGATGAGTGGTACCCGGTGGGGTCTTCTGCTGTTGTAGCCCATCCGCCTCAAGGTTGTGCGTGTTGTGGCTTCACAAATGCAGGACCACACCCCTAAATGCTTTGAAGCAACTGCCATGTGAATGGTTGATTAGATAATTAACTTTAATTGCATTAATGAGAAATTGAACAGGTGTTCCTAATAATCCTTTAGGTGAGTGTATATATACACTAGTTACACCTACTGGAAAGTTCTAAAGTGAGGACTTCCATATCAAACTGTTGAACATCACCATTATTGTCCAAGAATAAATGCAGTTCATTAAGATCTCTTCAGTGACAACATGCCACAATAATGCTTTAAATGGGTCACATTACAATTGGAAAATTCCAATAAATATCATATTATAGGTTTTTTAAAGCTAAATTTAAAGAGTTAAATGGTGATGAGCTAAATATGTAGTAGGAAAACATTGTTTTTGCCATCAATAATGGTATAAAGCAACATTTAAAAGCTGGGAGCTGACTACAGTACGTTTACATGTGCACCAATAATGTGATTATTTTCCAATAATCAGAGTAAAGGCTTAATCTCAGTAAGATGTCACCATTCTGATTATTCGCTAAGAATCGTGGTTATTTTTTCCGCTAATATTCTCATAGTGCCCAGCACAGATGATGGACTCACATACAGGCGTGTGTTACTGGTCTAGCTCTTCTCGGTTTGTTCTCCGGTATCCAGCCTCAGGCATTTTTCTGGTGATGCACCTAAAATGTCTACATTTCAATGTTTTTGACCAATATACCGCATTATATTCACGTCATGCAACGTTGTCAACATTAACACTTGTGCACTTCAGTCAAAGTGGAATAGATGCCATTAACCCTTTAGACCCTGAAGCTAAAATAGGTGTTTTTCTCACATTTTGATTTTTTGACTGTAAAATCCTGTGCTATCTTCATGTGCAAGGTGTCATCTTTTTCAGAAAAAGATTAGCTTTCAACAAATTACAGTTATTGACCATTACTGTGTGTGGTGAGAAATAGACAAAAATAAAAAATGAGAATAAATGTACTGATTTTTAGAACATTTAAAGGTTCGAGAAATGTTCATAGAATTTAGAGATTTTTATTTAGAAAAAAAAACAGAAAAATCACGAACGAAAGAAACTAACACTTTAAAGTTGAAAAATGAACTATAATACATATATATACAAGTCTTTTTTGTGACATTGGGTTGCACAGTTTTCATTTGCATGGATAACAAATGCATGCATTCATATGCATGCACACACCACATGCTAAGATACGTGAAACGGCCATCCGCCTCCCAAGTTTAATTAAATATCATCCCAATCCCCTCTTCTGCCGTCTACCACTTCTTTCGCCATGTATTTGTTCGTTTCTTTTACTATTTTATGCAATCCAAAACACTCTAACCTGCCGCGCTTCGTAGCTGTGCAGAAAACGTCTCAGGTTACGTATGTAACCCTGGTTCCCTGAGAGGGAACGAGACGCTGCGTTTGAGACGCGGTGGGAACGCTCTGCGTGATTGCGTCATGAAGCACGTGTAAAATCAGTCCAATGGAAGCCCGATACGTCATAGGTGACGTCATAGACCAGGAAACTATAAAGCACCCTTGAAAACAGACCGCGACAGCTTCTGAAAAGTCTGAAGTAAGTCGATCAGGGTATGCAGGAAGTATGGCAGGCAAACGCAGCGTCTCGTTCCCTCTCAGGGAACCAGGGTTACATACGTAACCTGAGACGTTCCCTTTCAAGGGAACTTCGAGCTGCGTTTGAGACGCGGTGGGAACCCCATACCCACTACGCCATAGTGACAAATGCCCGTTCTGTGTGAAGTCCTTGGCGCACACTAAGAAGCAAGCAACCTCGCCCCAGGAGTGGAGAGGTCAAGGTCATAAAACCTGACAAATGTATGCGGAGAGGACCAGCCTGCCGCATTACAAATGTCAAGAAGGGAAACACCCGAAACTAAGGCCGTAGAGGCCGCCATACTCCTAGTAGAATGGGCCCGTACAGCCATAGGTGAAGGCTGACCGGCCGCTTCATAAGCCAATGAAATAGCCTCGACTATCCATTTGCTCATAACCTGTTTCGATGCAGGGCACCCTCTTCTGGGTGACCCAAAACATACAAATAATTGCTCTGACTTACGCCACAGGGCAGCTCTGTGAACGTAGGCATCTAATGCCCGAACTGGACATAACAGGTTCAATTGTTCCTGATCTGGGGTATTAAAAGGTGGAGGATAAAAGGCCTGCAACACTATTGGACCCCCAACATTCACTGGGACCTTAGGTATATAGCCCAGTTTAGGGTATAGAAATGCTTTCACCATACCAGGTGCAAATTCCAGGCATGAAGGAGCAACCGACAGGGCATGCAAATCTCCAATTCTCTTGATAGAAGAAATAGCAAGGAGAAACAAAGCTTTCAAAGTGAGGAATTTTTCTGAAACCTCTTCAATAGGCTCGAAGGGAGCCAGAGCCAGACCCTCAAGTACAATGGCTAAATCCCAAGCCGGTGCTCTAGAGTGCAGTGCAGGTCTCAACCTCAATGTACCACGGAGAAAACGAATAATCAGAGGATCTCTCCCAATAGAAGTACCCCCCAGAGGGGTATGATAGGCCGATATAGCCGCCACATAAACTTTTAAGGTGGAAGAAGATAATCCAGCAGAGAAACGGTCTTGCAGAAAATCGAGAACTGAACCAACAGGGCAGTTAACAGGATCTAACTGACGCTCACCACACCAGGTGGAGAATAATTTCCATTTCAGCGCATACAGTCTTCTCGTGGAAGGGGCTCTGGAATGGAGAATGGTCTCAACGACCTCAGTCGAGAGACCGGATTCTATGAGCCTGGCCCCCTCAGAGGCCAGGCCCACAGTTTCCACAACTCCGGCCGAGGGTGAAAAATCGTGCCCTCTACCTGGGACAGCAGGTCCCTCCTGATTGGAATCTCCATGGGAGAGCCGTTCAGAAGAGACACCAAGTCCGAGAACCAAACTCGAGTCGGCCAGTAAGGGGCTATTAGTAGCAGACGGGCCCCTTCCCGGCGAACCCTCTCCAGAACCCCCGGGAGCAATGATATCGGGGGAAATGCATACAGGTGCAGCCTCGGCCACACCTGCACCATCGCATCCAGTCCGAGAGGAGCTGGGTGCGTGAGAGAGAACCACATGGGACAATGGGTTGTATCTGAGGATGCGAAAAGGTCTATCTGAGCACGACCAAATTTCTCCCACAGGAGCTCCACCACCTCGGGGTGAAGTCTCCACTCCCCGGGCCTCAGCCCCTGCCTTGACAGTATATCTGCTCCCACATTCTGACGCCCCGGAATGTAAACTGCTCTGAGA